TAATTTCAACCAACCCATCCTTAATAGTCCAGAATTTTCAATATCCGAATCAATTCGACCAAAACCAGCAAACAGTGCCAACTGTTTATCGTCAGYATTGGTATTACCACTATCTCTGTCGGGCAAACAAATACTGTTAACCRTATAATATCTGCCATTCATTGATCTTTGAATCCCTATATGACTATTCAGTTTCAATAGCCCGATGTCATACATTTGTTCAGTTACTGAACTAATTGAATAGTTTGGATGTATAAACCACTTATGGATACCATATGTATGACTTTCATCTCTCTTGTCCTGAACTGTCCGAACAGTTATCTTACGATCGGCTCTGATATTATTGTAATTAAATTGAAAATAGTTTACATAAAATAATAATATTTATCCGAATATTTTCAAAATTTCAAAATTTTATATATTTTATTTTATATATATAGATTAGAATTCAACTATTTTTTAATTAAATTAATAATATATCATAAATTTTATTTTCATAATACAATACTGTATATCACTTACTCTATACAATGCGCTGCTGTTATAATCCAATTAGTGTTTAGTATAACACCCGTACATTCTTTGCTATTTAATGATTATACGATAAAAATTATTTAATTTTAGAACAAAATTTTTAAAATTTAAATAAATAAAAACTATAAAAATGTTATAAAAACCTTGAAAAGGGAATAAATCCCAAAAAATAATAAACWGAATATATATATACAATCCATGGCCACTCTCCCGGTTGAGCTAACCGTCCGTTTTGTACACTTGTAGTCACATTTGATGACCACTTGAAACAGTTTTTTGTAGTCAACAGTGACTGCCGTCCGATACCACACGTGTCGAGCGTTACGTTCGGATAGTGTTTGATCTGTGAGTGAATGCAAACACTGAACGACACCAATACTGATGACAACAATACTATTAATAATAATTATAATTATATTAAATATATTTAATTTAAATATTAGAAATGTTTTCAAAATAATCTTTGTTTTAACTTAAAGTTAAGTAAATAAATATACAAACATAATGTTAACATTTCATGTATTTTGTGATTTCAGTGATTTAATAACAACTTTTACTTTTAAAAAATATTTGTGTTTTTTATAATGTATTAATAACTTAATATAGTCTTAAATATAATGAACAGTATATTATTTTTTTAAACATTTAATATTTTTTTAAAATATTAATATGTATCTTTTAATTAGTATTTATACTKTACAAAAAAATATATTAAATTTCTATTAAATAAAATGATTTTTATAGTATATTAAATTACAAAAAAAACAATACAATTTATTATCAAATTTTATATATCACTATTAAATACTAAAATAAAAAATATTCTTGTATTTTTTATGCTAATTTGTTGATTATAAATAAATAATATTTTTCAATTCATTAACTAAGATAAATGTAACCTAATATTTAATAATATGTTTTTTTATTAATAGTATATTATTTTTTTAATAATAGTGTTTTAATACATTTTTTATAATTAAAAAAACTATTATTAATTAAAATCTAATTGATTATATAATTCAATTAAAGTATTAAAATGTAAGTTTGTATAATATATGCAACTAAGTGTCTATATTATATGTAATTATAAAAATTTCAATTGATTTATAGTTTTGATAGTATGGCTAAACTGTTTGTCCATTGAAGGCATACATTCMTCCATCAAATACTATCCCAATGTAACACTCATTGACTGTGGTATCGGTCGGGAGTCAGACATTATGAACGACCAGTGCTTTAGATTTCATACGAGTTATGATATGATGCGAAATGCAAAGTACGGACACAATATTACCGACAGAGAGATGCTATTCATAGATAAAACAAATAATAAATTTCTTATACATTAAATAATGTAAATAATGTATAAGCTATCTATAAGTATAGCTATAATTGCCGTTTGACTTACAAAAACGAGAAGTCAAATACAGTAGACTGTGGGCAGCACTGGTAGACTAAAACAAAAAACATATACAGTATAACTGTGAATAACTGTTGGGAAACCACTGGCTTCAATGGTATTAGTATTTGATTAATGATTAAATTGAATTTCACAAAAAAGACACGTAATTGAAAAAAAAAAATATTTATTATTTTAATGCAAAATAAACTACAGTTATAATATATTGTAAAAATGGTAATATATTTAGTTTAATATACAACTTTAATTTATTGTTTTGTTATTATTATATATTTATATTATAGCAATAATTATTTATTATTCTTAATATTATTACATTAAATATATTATACACTATTATAATAAAATCCTTTGTATAATATAATAATACAGTAATAAAAATATTATTATAAAAATATTAAATTATTTGAAAATCAAAAATAACACATAATTTTAATTATGTATATTTTTTATTTATTTTATATATTATTAATTTACTGTAAAATAGTAACTAAAACTTTTAATTGTTTATAGATATTATAATATCAATATTTTTTTCTGAAAATTTCTAGAAAAACATTCAAAAATGTTATTAACCTGATATTAAATAAATAACTTGAATATAAAATCTGCGATGAAATAAATAATAATTGCTGTGGAAATTTACAAAAAATATTTGTTGGTAAATTTTATATTGTTCTCATAACGTTCATTAATTTTACACATACATAGGTTTATAAAAAGCTATTGCAAGCAATTTGAATCTAAAGAATATATTTTTATTGAATAAAAGAGTTAAAACTCAATTTTACACTAAGTTTTTGTTACAAATAACATTGTATACTATAGACTCTATAGTATAGAGTATACAGATATGTTATTTCCAAATGTTTTCAAACTGTTATGTCTAACAATTATCGTTATTATCACAACAAATATTTTGATTATAGATACCAACGATGGCATGATTTATGATTGCAATCGTAAACCTACCCAACATTATTACAATACACTATACGATTGTTATATTGATAATGGTTACTCTGTAATGGAAAATCCAATTATAAATATTTACATACCTATTGGTGTAGAATCATTAGGCTTTCCTGTAAACAAACACTCGTACTGCAAATTTGACAAAAATAAAATAATTAAATTTATAAATATAGCAAAATTTAGTTATAAAGAGATTACATTAGAATCAGAAAACAATTTTAAAGCTGAACTATTTAATGTAATAGATATTCCATTTATAACAAAAAAATCAGCCATGTTATGTAATTATCATATATTTTTTAATATAATATTTTGTTTTTATTTAATAATTTATTTTTTTATAATGGAAAAAATAACTAGATTTTACTGCCAAACCTATTGATTGGATGGGAAATGGAAACGGGATGGCAATTAAAAATTTTAAGTTTACCGAAAGCCTAGAGGTATAATATAGTATAAGTAAAATTTATTTTTTAAATATCCAATGCTTATTTTTCAAAACTATTTTTCTAGAAAGTCAAACAAAGTAGCAGTAAATTTATTGAAAAACTAGATACCGTTACTTTTGCTAACAGTGCCGATACTAACATTGTACGACATTATGAGAGAGAGTTCAAAAAGACTTATACATCGGAATTGTCTGTTAGGGACGTTTGGCAGACAACGGACAAAACTGTCTACGATTTCAACCTTGATTTTGGCACTAAAGTCACCGCTAGTATACCTGTAGATCCTATCAAATTGATGTTTACAAGAAAACTTAACATACGGTTCGGTATTAAATATGTCAAAGAGGTCATCCATGGCGGCGAAAAAGTGGTCACAAATGGCAATACAAACGAAGAGACCATTGTCTACAAACAGGAACTGACTGTCAAACCCTATCGTACTGTTTGGTTAAAAGCCTATTTAGAATATTATAAGGATCTTCTCATACCGTTTACCGCAGATTTAGAAATTTCAGCCGTTGTTTATGATAAGTCCGGTCCGATACCGGTCTCGTTCAGCGAAATGGAAAAGACTTTGTGGCCGGAAAAATGCCATCAATATATGTGTCAATCATTTTCTCAAACAGGAAGTTAACAACAAACTGGTTATTGGCATAAATGGTTTGTTTAAGACATCCACCGATTTCATGACATTTATCAATATTACTGAACAAATGATTGCCGACAAAAAACCCAACAGTGGTGTCACCAGTAGTTTAGGATTTAATAATATTGTTTTTGTTAGTTTTATTACATTTTTGATTTATATTTATAATTAATTAATTATATAAATAACAAAAGCAATATTAGACTTGTTTTTAAATATAGATTGTATTTAGATATTTACTTGTTAGTATAATATTAGTCTTATATTATTGTTATAAAATAGTGTTAATTTAAATTAATTAACATAATTAAAATTAATATTTTTATTGAACTTTTGTAAAATAAAAACAAATAATTTTTAATAAATTCAATTTAATAGTAATATTTTTTAAAAATTTTTATTTATAAATGTTTTATAAATAATGTATTTTAGTTTTATTAACTTTTATGTTATTGTTGTATTTGCTAAACTTATATCGTCTGCATTGATAATAAACGGTACTCTAATATACTACCAAAAAAACTCTACATTATATCGTATATAATTTTCTTTATATTAATTCAATATTTTAGTAACAAAAGACAACTACATATATGATCACACATTTAGTATAACTTTCAATATATTGGAGACATGACTGTAAACTAAACTACTTGGACTGAATAGTACTGTACTCAACAAACATAACATTAAATTTAATTAAATAAACTAAAATTAAATATTTTTTTGTTGATAGTAAAATAATTATATTTTAAAATATTTTTCTAAACATTTTAGTTTATTATAGATAAATTATAATAATCAGGGTTTATCATTGAATTAATTAAAACCCTAATTATAATACAGTTTAGATAAGCAATAATATCAGCTATTTTTGAAAAATTTTTATATTAAATATATTCAACTATTAAATCTAAATTATTTATTTAAATAGTCTCAAAAAAATATAAGCAATCAATTATATTATCATTAAAATCTAATTATTGTTAACAATATCAACAATCCATTTAATATGCTTTGAAATGCGTATGTATGACATAATGGCATACATTGACTGATTAGGTATACATAAACTGTCCGACAAATTGCCAGTTATTGTAACAAATATTCCAATAAGTACTGCCCGTCCATTGACATACTGAACCAATGGTCCACCAGAATCACCCTATTTTTGCATAAATAAAGACAGACACATGAGATGAGAAACAAACAGATAGATAGAGAGAGAGATAGATACCAAGCATCCCTGTGCTGATCCATTAACATTTTTATCGATAACTATTTTGTTACCGCCATCATCGTCGTCATCATGTACTTCTTGATCAGTTTTAATGACAGTCCAACCCATCCGAGGTCTACCTTTCAAATCTTCGTCTGCACCAATAGCTCCATATCCTCCAATAACTGCCAGTTCTCTGTTGTCGTTTCGGATGCCTTCAGGCGGCAAACAAACCGCATTCAACATACTGTGGCCGCCATTGCGAGATGATTGGTGTTGACCACTGCCGGACAACAACAGATCTAGTGGTTTGTATAGTTTAATAAGTGCCAAATCATTGGTTGAATCAATTAATTTATTGCTTTCCCAAATTGGGTTCACAAACGCCATCTCTACTTGACTATAGTCGGGTAGATGTGACACATCATTAACACCCGGATAGACACGCATTTCATCGTAATAATGATCTATAAAGATATTGCTAACAAACAAATATCAATCATTTATTTTAAAACTTCAGATATAATACATAATTTATATAATATTTTATAATATGATTTATGTTGTGTCATAATTAAGTAATACAATACATACTAAACACAGTGGGCAGCAGTCAGTATCCAAAAGTTATTTAGTATAACACCCGTACAATAATGACTATATTTTAAATTAAAAAAAATGTTATAAAATTAAATTACAATTAATTATTAATTAAAATAAAATTAGATAATTCTTAGTTATTACTAGTTTTTACTAATTATTGTTATATTATTTATTAAATATATAAAAAATAGATAATAATAACTTATTTGTTGGTTTTTCAAATAGTTTGCAGTGAATGAATACCAAGAATGGCATCTCTCCGTCGGTAATATTGCGTCCGTACTGTATATTTCGSRTCATATCATAACTCGTATGAAATCTAAAGCACTGGTCGTTCATAATGTCTGACTCCCGACCGATACCACAGTCAATGAGTGTTACATTGGGATAGTATTTGATGGAGGAATGTATGCCTTCAATGGACAAACAGTTTAGCCATACTATCAAAACTATAAATAAATTTAAATTTTTATTAGTTATTTATAATTACTTGTAATATAAACATTTAATTATTGCATATATTATGTTAACTTACATTTTAATACTTGAATTGAGTTATATAAATGAGATTTTATAGTTAACATTAGAGAGCGAAAAGTTTCGGACCCGTACCTGACCCGTACCTGATCTGATACCTAAAATCTCGGACTCGGACCTGACCTAACAATGGGTACAAATTTACCTGACCTGACCTGACCTGACTATGTAGGTCCGAAAATAATTTTATCAAAAAACAATTTTATTCATACTATACCCGCAACAAATTTGTTTAAATTAACTTTAATTACTCGGGATTAACGTTAACTGATCGTAGATATAACTTAGATACTAATAAAGTTAATATGCCGTTATTTATTAGATCAAACTATGATATTTTGTAATACTTTATTTTTTATTTATACAAATATTTCATAAATAATAATTTAATAAATTTTGTGTTTGATTTTGATATTTTGTAATAATTGTCATTTAAATAGTGAATAAAAAATTTTCGGACCTGACCTGACCTGACCAAAAAATTTTGGTGTTCGGACCCGTACCTGACCTGACCTGAGCCATAACTTTTACCTGACCTGACCTGACCTGAAAAATCAGGTCAGTTTTCAGTCTCTAGTTAACATTATAATAATTAGCAATAAATTATATTTTAATTAATAATAAATGTAATATTTCAATAATGTTAAATTATAAAAAATTGTATTAAAATACCATTAATAAAACATATATAAAATATTAATTTACAGTTATCTTACTTAACTAATTTTTAAATATGATAGTTTAAAATTACAAATTAGTTCAAATTACATAAAAATTTAAATTTATAAAATAATAAATGCAATTTGGTTATTCTAATATTATTTTTAAAAATTAATAAATAGATTTCCTATTATTTTTTATATTATTTTAAATAAATATTCTTATTTTTTTTATTTTTAATTATTTATTGTAATTTTTATACACTTATATTTTCAATTGTTAAAATATTTGACAAGACTTTATTATATGGCCCGCGCCGAGGGGCGGGTGGGGTATATTTACGTTGGGGTGATGTTTAGTATAAAGATATAAAATTTTATCTGAGTGAAGCCGTTCATATAGATTAGTGCATTATTGTTAGAAATAGACAATTAAAAAATTTTTTAATAAATTTCCCTGAGAAAGTTTCTCAGTAATAAATTTTTATAGTAATTTAAGTTTATTAGTTTATTATGGGTCCCCATTTTTATAGATATTATAAAACTATATTAATGAGACATAATATTATTAGGGTTAGATTAGATTCCCTCCCTCGTCTTATTTTCCATAAGTTCCTTATACTCCCTGTTCCCTGGGAAGACATTTCCTTGTGATACCACCTATCGTACCATAACTCACATTACATGTTTAATTAAAAACACGTTTGTTTAGTAATGTCTACAAAATGTATTTAATGTTTTTACTAAATGTTTAATATTATTTGAATAACATTTTGATTGAATAATTACTAATATATTGGTCACAATTGAAACACATAGTCATTGAGATTAAGTACTTTTTAATGTATGACAAATTATATTTTCCCTTTCTAACGATCAAGGGAGGGAATATAATATATTTTCCACATTTTTACATTACATATATAATACAAAATGGGATACATATAATAAAATAATTATGTTTATTTTATATTAATGTTTTGTTAAATTTATTCATCATTCTAATCTACAGTATATATATATATTTATATATAAATAATAAAAAAAAAAAAACTAAACATAACTATAGTCATGTGAGGTATCTAATTATTCAGAATAAAAACTAAACCSAACTATAGTCATGTTGGGTATCAAATGATTCAGAATAAAAAACTAAACCCAACTATAGTCATTTGAGATATCAAATTATTYAAAATAAAAAACTAAACCCAACTATAGTCATGTTGGGTATCAAATGATTCAGAATAAAAACTAAACCCAACTATAGTCATGTGAGGTATCAAATGATTCAGAATAAAAATCTAAACCCATCTATAGTCATGTGAGGTATCAAATGATTCAGAATAAAAAACTAAACCCAACTATAGTCATGTTGMGGTATCAAATGATTCAGAATAAAAAACTAAACCCAACTATAGTCATGTGAGGTATCAAATGATTCAGAATAAAAAACTAAACAMAACTATAGTCATGTGAGGTATCAAATKATTCAGRATAAAAACTAAAGCAACTATAGTMATGTTGGGTATCAAATGATTCAGAATAAAAAACTAATTCCAACTATAGTCATGTTGGGTATCAAATAATTCAGGATAAAAAACTAAATTAACTATAGTCATGTGAGGTATCAAATGATTCAGAATAAAAAACTAATCCCAACTATAGTCATGTGAGGTATCAAATGATTCAGAATAAAAAACTAAACCCAACTATAGTCATGTGAGGTATCAAATGATTCAGAATAAAAAACTAAACCCAACTATAGTCATGTGAGGTATCAAATGATTCAGATAAAAAACTAAACCCAACTATAGTCATGTGATTTGGTACCCAACAAATGATTCAGAATAAAAAACTAAACCCAACTATGACATGTTTGAGGTATCAAATTATTCAGAATAAAAAACTAAACCAACTATGACTATAGTTAGTTTTTTATCAAATCTCAATCAGAATAGTTTTTTAAAAATTAAAACCCAACAACTATAGTCATATTCTGAGGTATCAAATGATTCAGAATAAAATTTTAAACCCAATTTGATATCATGACTATAGTTGGGTTTAGTTTTTTATTCAGAATAAAAAATACCCAAAATAAATTCTGAATAATTAGATACCTCAACATGACTATAGTTGTGTTTAGTTTTTTATTCAAATAATTTGATATCTCAAATGACTATAGTTGGGTTTAGTTTTTTATTCTGAATCATTTGATACCTCAACATGACTATAAACTATAGTTATGTTTAGTTTTTTATTCTGAATGACTATTAGTTTAGTTTTTTACTGAATCATTTGATCAACATGACTATAGYTGGGTTTAGTTTTTTATTCTGAATAATTAGATACCACACATGACTATAGTTGGGTTTAGTTTTTTAWTCWRAATCATTTGATACCCAACATGTCTATAGTTGGGTTTAGTTTTTTATTCTGAATAATTTGATACCCARCATGACTATAGTTGGGTTTAGTTTTTTTTCYAATCATTTGATACCCAACATGTCTATAGTTGGGTTTAGTTTTTTATTCTGAATMATTTGATACCCAACATGTCTATAGTTGGGTTTAGTTTTTTATTCTGAATAATTAGATACCTCACATGACTAGTTGTGTTTAGTTTTTTATTCTGAATAATTTGRTATCTCAAATGACTATAGTTGGGTTTAGTTTTTTATTCTGAATCTTTTGATACCCAACATGACTATAGTTCGGTTTAATATTTTATTCTGAATAATTAGATACCTCACATGACTATAGTTATGTTGTTTTTTATTTTAAATAATTAGATATCTCAAATGACTATAGTTGGGTTTAGTTTTTTACCCAACATGTCTATAGTTGGGTTTAGTTTTTTATTCTGAATAATTAGATACCWCACATGACTATAGTTGGGTTTAGTTTTTTATTCTGAATAATTWGATACCTCAACATGACTATAGTTGGGTTTAGTTTTTTTTTATTCTGAATAATTTGATATTCTGAAACATGACTATAGTTGGGTTTAGTTTTTTATTCTGAATAATTTGATACATTTGATCAACATGACTATAGTTGGGTTTAGTTTTTTATTCTGAATAATTTGATACCTCAACATGACTATAGTTGGGTTTAGTTTTTTATTCTGAATCATTTGATTCAACATGACTATAGTTGTTTAGTTTTTTATTTTGAATAATTTGATATCTCAAATGACTATAGTTGGGTTTAGTTTTTTATTCTGAATAATTTGATACCCAACATGACTATAGTTGGGTTTAGTTTTTTATTCTGAATCATTTGATACCCAACATGACTATAGTTGGGTTTAGTTTTTTATTCTGAATAATTWGATACCWCACATGACTATAGTTGGGTTTAGTTTTTTATTCTGAATAATTWGATACCTMACATGACTATAGTTGGGTTTAGTTTTTTATTCTAATCATTTGATACCCAACATGTCTATGGTTGGGTTTATTTTTTTATTCTGAATAATTTGATACATCACATGACTATAGTTGTGTTTAGTTTTTTATTCTGAATCATTTGATACCCAACATGTCTATAGTTGGGTTTAGTTTTTTATTCTGAATAATTTGATACCCAGCATGACTATAGTTGKGTTTAGTTTTTTATTCTGAATMATTTGATACCCAACATGTCTATAGTTGGGTTTARTTTTTTATTCTGAATAATTWGATACCTCACATGACTATAGTTGKGTTTAGTTTTTTATTCTGAATCATTTGATACCTATAGTTGGGTTTAGTTTTTTATTCAAAATCATTTGATAACATGACTATAGTTGGGTTTAGTTTTTTATTCTGAATCATTTGATACCTCAACATGACTATAGTTGGGTTTAGTTTTTTATTCTGAATAATTTGATACCTCACATGATTAAAGTTGGGTTTTGTTTTTTATCCTGAATCATTTGATACCCAACATGACAATAGTTGAGTTTAGTTTTTTATTCTGAATCATTTGATACTCAACATGACCATAGTTGGATTTAGTTTTTTATTCTGAATCATTTGATACCCAACATGWCTATAGTTGGGTTTAGTTTTTTATTCTGAATAATTTGATACCCAACATRTCTATAGTTGGGTTTAGTTTTTTATTCTGAATAATTTGATACCTCAACATGACTATAGTTGGGTTTAGTTTTTTATTCTGAATCATTTGATACCCAACATGACTATAGTTGGGTTTAGTTTTTTATTCTGAATAATTAGATACCTCACATGACTATAGTTATGTTTAGTTTTTTATTTTAAATAATTTGATATCTCAAATGACTATAGTTGGGTTTAGTTTTTTAATCAAAATCATTTGATACCCAACATGTCTATAGTTGGGTTTAGTTTTTTATTCTGAATMATTTGATACCCAACATGWCTATAGTTGGGTTTAGTTTTTTATTCTGAATAATTTGATACCCAACATGACTATAGTTGGGTTTAGTTTTTTATTCTGAATAATTWGATACCTCAACATGACTATAGTTGGTTTAGTTTTTTATTTGAATTTTATTCTCAAATGACTATAGTTGGGTTTAGTTTTTTATTCTGAATCATTTGATACCCAACATGACTAT